GGAGGGAGTGTTTCGGGGCGTCCGCGCGTGTGCGTCTGTCACGGGTCAGCTGGTCGTCTGAACGCGGCGGGGATAACAGGGCAAGGAACCCGGAAACTTCTGCCCACCCTCATCCCCATCCCCGCCCACCGGGGCTACTACAAAGCCTCTTCTCTTTTTCTCAGGAAGTCCTATTTGAAAAACACCCCCTGTACACGACAACGGTCGGTTTCCTTTATGGGGTACATATAGGAGGGACTGAAGGAGCCATTTCAAGGGACTGCAGGGGTGGGGAAATAAAACTAAAGGAACGCTAACCTGAGAGTCGAGAAATGAGACGTCAGGCTTTTTCGGGCCAAGATCATTTTGTTTTAATGCAACGCCGCCCCTTCCTTGTCTGGCGAGGCCCTTGACGGGCATTAACTGCTAAAGTTCGCTAAGGATGGAGCAAACCATTCTCATTAGCTCGGGGTGTGCCTGGAATGTACCACGAACTGGAAATAGCTGGGTTGAACTTCTTCTTTGCCGACTACATGGTTAAGTGACGTGCAGGGCTGGAATGAGCCATTTTTAGCGAACCGCAACTACTTACAGTTCGAGACTCCATAAAGGTGTTACTGCAGCGGCGAGTCATGGTCAGCTAGAAACTTGCCAGTTTGACTAGCAAATCATCTGAAGGTACCTATTTGTATAGGTCAAACCTTTGAATTGCAGTACTCCTGCTAGTGTCGTTTTCCTGAAATGAGTCTGTTAATATCCCTGCTTCAGGAGTCAAGATGGAAAAATCCTATAATACATTTTTAATCGCATGTCTTGATAAATATACTGTTTAATGGTTGCAATAGTAAATATCCAGCTTGCTTGTAGTGCAAGCAAGCACTTATCTTGCTTACAATATCCCTGTTAATATCCCTGCTTCAGGAGTCAAGATGGAAAAATCCTATAATACATTTTTAATCGCATGTCTTGATAAATATACTGTTTAATGGTTGCAATAGTAAATATCCAGCTTGCTTGTAGTGCACTCATGAGGCTTTGGAAACTTCCATGAGCCAAAGGATCATGTACCAGATGTTGTACCAGAAGTTTATTCAACTACTGTTTAAAGGGTTTTAACATCTTGCTATCTGGGAGATTCTAGAAGCCATAGTTCCTCCACCACTGCCATCATAACGTTTCCAAGCTGGTTTTGATCTGGAAGGCATGAAAAAGTTTAGGCCAGAACATACCAGGAAATCATTTCTAGTTCTTGCTTGACAAGGCTTGTAGTGTTCCACCATTGAAAGGACAAGGCTGTCTTCTGTTAAAAATAATACTTTTCTGTAATTGTTCTCAGCTTGTGGAGGGTTGCATCCAAGGAAAATCAACCAGATTTGCATAATTGGTCATATCTGAAACACTACACTTTAAAAAAAAACAGCCTGGTATATCTGCCTGCTTTATGTACTGTATCTGCTAGGCTTTCTCTTATTCCCACCATCACTGTATTTATTCTGTATGCCACTTTGGGAACAGAACAGTTGAAAAGTAGTACACATGCACATTGAAACAATAGATAAAATCCAGCATTCTCAGACTGCAGAGGAAAGCCTTGAATTCAGTGTGATTCATGCTTAGAAACAAGGTAACAATTGACAATTATTGACTATATATTAGATTGCTTTTCTGTACTGTACTTTATTCCGCTCTTTTAGCTTTACTACTGATATTTTTTTCCAAATTATTTTTTATCTTGTGAGGTGTCTTGAGGAAACCTGCTTTTGATACACAGCACAGGAATCTTTAAAATTTATAAATAACACAGCCAATGCCAATTTAACTGTTTGGAGGCTACAGTCTTTCATTACAGTATGCTTCTCAGAGGAAGAACTAATGGAAATTCACTGTGCCCAGTAGGAGAACTAGCCTTAGCTACTTGTGTTGTTTAGAATAAAGTAGAGGCAGCCAGTTTTTCCATTTCCCAGGATTGTGAATTCCTTAAAGCAGGGATGTGCTTTCTGCTTACGCTCTTCAGTATACCTCATATATCAGTAGTTCTGCATGTATAGTTTCTGTAGCCTCTAGTATTCAAATATTAGTCCAAGATCTTTTCCAAAGCCTGAACCCTAAAAATGCTGCCAGCAAAGTTAAAAATGCTTAAGGATGTCTACATTGTGGAGTCCATCTGTTCCAGGAGATATGTAGTCTTTTGGAGCAGAGAGAAACCAGTGGTCTTTCCAGAACTCTCACTAAAAAGGCAGACAGGCATATGTTGTCTTTTGGATGAAAACATCCAGTTGTATGAATCACACACTGTACCTCATTGTTTCCTTCAGCCTATTATAATTGTCAAATGGGATACTATGTAGGAAACATAAGGGCAAGACGTATCACTAAAGTACAAATTTTCTTCACACATTTAAAGGCAGTTTTCTTGCTTACCAATCCATACGTGGCTCAATTTTTATGTCTCAGTTGCTGTTTATGATACATTAATATCCTTTCTTTAGTGAGATTAGTGGATCCTCTTCTCCTTCTAAGAACAACATGGTGAGGTAAGACAGGCTGAAAAAGAACGGCTGGCCCAAGATCACCCAAGGAGGTTCACACCTCAGTGGGAACATGAACCTGGCTCTCCTAAGTCCCGGCCACACCAACCAGATGTGCGAGGCTAACAATTCTCCAGTTTGTGAAAAGCAATTTGGCCATCACACCAACCATTGTATCTCAGTTTGGTAGATGTGCGAGGCTAACATTTCTCCAGTTTGTGAAAAGCAATTTGGCCATCGTTTATACAGGAGAAGATACTTTTATTCTAACTCCTGCCTGTGGACATACATTTGTTAGGCTCAAGCAGTACTACCAAAATTGACATGTAGATCTACAGTTCATTGATGCTATGAATATTGATTGAAGTTAAGAGGAGAGCGCCTGTGGCTAGCATCTATCATTGCTTTGTGACAAGCACACAGTGTCCATATCTTTGTTGGATATAAACAGAAACATGGGAGAAGTGGTTAAATAATGTTTAGCTACAGAATTAGGAAATAAAAATAGAACAGTTGGGGAAGCATCACACCAGAGTGAAAAAGGAGGTGTGCAAGGCAAGGACATACTACGCTGTCCTGATCCAGCTGGATATAAAAGCAGGAAATAACTTAATGCTGGGGGAGACCTTTAAAAGGAAAGAAATTTAAAGTAGGATGACATGCTATCAGCATGATAGGAAATATGTAAAGACCAAATTTCTGGGCTGGGCGCCAAGAAGGAAAAGCTGCTGTCATAGGATGCTTTGGGAGGAAACACATGTTAAATCCAGGCTGGCTGGTGGGGCCAGAACGTCTGCACTCTCCAAACGTTTTTTGGATAAGAGCCGCAGCCTTCCTCCTGTCAGTAGCACCTGCCTAGGCCCCCAGCTTCTTGGAGGGAATGACTCACTCCTGTGGAATTCAGGAAACTGGTTTGTCCAGCTGCTTTAGCAGGCAAACACTCCTGCTTCTTCCTGTGATGCCTTGACTCTTCCCCGTGGCACCAGAGCCAGCAACTTAGTTTCTGGTTTATCTGCCAAGTTTTGGTGCCACCCTCTCCTGGGTTACTCCTCAACTCTCCATAGCTCTAATTGATGGGTGGAAACCTGCTCTGGGGATTTTGGAGTGAGGCGCCAACAGAGGCCTGGACTGGCGTGGGCACAGTGAAACAAACAAAGTATTGCGACAGCCAGCTGTCCCGCAAGAAAAACAAGCCTTTGCAGTTTCCCGGGACCAGGGAAGCCAAATCTAACTGGATTAAGTACAAAGCATTGTTCCCTGTTCAACCCCCTAATGCAGTTTATTTTGCAATTTCTTGGTACAGTTTCCCAGCTTTCACTAAGTTCAGCCAGTGATTTGGTCGAAGCACACATAACAGGTATCCAATAATACTACATCACATTTTAAAAGGTGCTGGAGTTGTAGTGATGCTCAGGCAACTTGTTATGAATATTAAATGCTCAGATTTCATGCGCTGGCATAATTTAGAGAGGACTTTGTAGAGGAAGAGCCCATGTTATTTAAGACTGGATTTTTCCACACTCAGTGAAGTATTTGTTCATATAGGATACATCAAACAACTACCAGCCTGCAAGTAATCTAATTTGTTTTCTGCTCTAGAAAGTAAATGGTTGTAGACTGTGATTGCCAAGAGCAATACAGTTAACCTCTGAAAAGCTTATTGATAGCAAATAAACCACACCAACTCCAGCAGGGTCTGTGGAGTAAAACAAGCAGAGCAAAGAAGATCCACGTGTGCTTAGGATTATTTCATGCAGAGCGCAACACATTTGAATAATTGTGGAGTATAAAGGCCTGACACTGGTGTCACTTAAGCATTTTTAATGTGGGCTTGCCCTGTTGCTACACCTTCAATGAAATTCTGCTACTTAGCACAGTAAGTCACACTAGAAAAGGCACATTGAACCAGCGGCAATTTGGTGAGTCAACACATATGTAAGTTCTATTGATTAATTGAATCTACTCATGTTTATCCCTCCTTTCTCCTCAAGAGGACCAGAGGCAACTTACAATATTAGTACAAATTAAAACCTGGAAGGAGGAAACCAAAGAGCAGCCCCCTCTTAGGTACAGCTAGTTATTTACTACGAGATATTAGACTATATCGGGTATGGCAGAGCCAAAGCTAAATGGTTTGAGAATGCCACCAGTATGTTTGCATGGGAAGACAGCACTCTGGCCTCACTCTCTTAATTACTTCTGCTTCATTTCTTTTAGGAATTAATAAGAAAGCTTTTGGTTAACGCAGTACTGTATTTCTGGGTAGAAAAAGACATAGTACAACCCTCTTCCTAACACTAAATGTCTTTAACTACACAATTTTCAGTTAAATGACACCTTTTCATATCTTCATCTGTATCATTTAGAACCTTAAATCAACTCGTTTCGGCAAGCCTACCTGTAAATGGAATCAGGCCAAAAACTCAACTTCTTTCCTTGCTGGATGGGTTAGACAAATTTATTTCAGAGCAAGAAGTGAAATGCAGGGTGGCAGAAACCCCATCCCTTCCACCATTACAAAGGGCATTCTTGATGTAGATTTGTAGGTTTTTTTTTAAAGAATTGTTATGAAATTTCAGTGGCTAGATTCAATAAAATCCTTCATGAAAATTCTTTTTTATGTGACTATTCCCTAGCCCCTCAAAAGAGAGAGAGAAGAAAATGATCCCCCTTCTTGAGATATGCCTGACTGGTTAGCACTGGCTAACTGTGTTAGGAGAAACTCTAGAATGATTTCAGTTTGCATACTGTCCTTTGGGAACACCTATTATAGTATAGATTTGAGCCAGTGGAAGACAGGAGGACCTGGCGTGCTCTGGTCAATAGGGTCACGAAGAGTCGGACATGACTAAACGACTAAACAACAACAACAATTATAGTATGGATGCTATAGTCCACAATGCCAGAATGCTAGGAAAAACACTAGAGTGGAAGGAAAAAGCAAACAGTGATGGAGCCAGAAGTGTAACACAGATTTTTATTCTAGGAGTTGCCAGGCAGAGCTTCCATTTCAAGGCTCACCAATCTGGACAGAACCTTCCAATCCAGAACTGGGGTAGCAAGCAGGAACAAAACAGGGCTCAGAGATGCCCACAGCTCCATTTCCACTTTGCCATTACCTATGGAGAAAAAGGCCCCAGTCCAGGTGGTACTGCCCCATGGCCTTTTGGGGTAGTTGAGCCCCATCCCTATTTGTCTGACAGACCACTGGCGCTGAGGCATATGCTTCTATTTCATACACATTCCAGAGTCAAACACAGAAGGATCTGTTCTGGTCACTTACAAGACAAGGCACACATAATTATGTTGCAAATGAAGCTTCAAAAGTAGATACAGCATGAGGACAAGCCAGATGGACACTAAATAAATCCTACTAGGCAGGACTCATACCAAGATGGACTTGCTGTCAGCCTTTCCTTTTTAGCACAAACAGGGTCACGTCTTAAACAATGATGGGACAAAACTTCAGGACAAGTCAGAATCTTGCTATTTGGTGCCTAGTCTTCTACCACATTCTTCATGAGATTTCCCCCCATCAGATCTTATAAAGAGTGGCTGTAAGTCCCTGAAAGGCCATTCACATTTCTGAGTAATAAAACTATCCTGACAGGTAGTGCCAACGTGGGCACAAAGCAGGACACAATAGGAAAACAAATGCCCTCCAAGATGGCAGTGATAGGGAGGCCACAGCCTATCTGGATGGACAAGAAATGCCAGACGTAATGCCAGGATTCCATTCCATGAATGGCAACAGTCTGCAAAATCCCATATCTTACTATAGGAAGAGTCTTCTGGGTGAAATTAACAGGCCCTTTTAGTTTAGAAGCACTTCCTCTCCCCAAGCCTGTGTTCCATATTGCAGAGTGGTGTCTCTACCCTTCTGCAGTCCCAGCACACAGGGACCCTCTGACGCCCTAATCAAATTTTTGAGGACTCCACTCTCTCAATCCAAGGTGACTCTGAGTTGATGCCCCTAGGCTCAGGTTGGTATTGCCGGAATTCATTCAGCTGTCTCTCCAGAGCCTGATTCCAGTGGTACATCTCCATATAACTCGCCTGAATCTCCCGCTGATACCGCAAGACTTTCTCCTTCTCCTCTTGCCACGTCTTCCGTTCCTGCTCAAAGTTTGCAGCTTGCAACTGGGCCTGGCGCCGTTCCCGCAACAGTTCTGCCCATAGCCACTCACTGCTCTCTGCACTCTCCCCTTGCATCTCCCGACATTTAGAGTCATCCGTTTCACAACCCAAGAAGTCCTGGCATGGTTGCATAGAGGAATCCCTTGGAGGAACAGGAGAGCCATGTTCTGGCAAGGGTTGGAAAGAGTCCCCCAGTTTCGCTAGTTGTGAATCTTTGGCTTGCAGTTCTGTTCGGGCTTCACGCAGCTGTGTTTTCAAGCTGAAGATTTCACCCAGTTTCTGGGCCACCTCCTCCTGGGCATCTCGGAGCTGCTGCTTGAGCAGCGAGATCTCTGCAGTCTTCTGACAGACCTGTCAAGACAGTACATTAATATGAGGGCAAGGGATAAGACTCAACAAGGAGAATCAATGAGCCACTGGACCATGTGCAGCAGAGCAGAGCACAAGGATGTTCTTATGACCACAGTGAGGTCAATTAAATAACCATGAGAATCCCAGAGGGGAAAGAAAGATTGTTGAGGGACTCAGAGGGAAGAGTGCACGGAGAAATGATCTGCTATGACTTTGGATCCGAAAAACAGTTCCACAGTTTGGCAAATCATAAAACAGTAGGAACAACAATTTTGCCAGCTACCTTGGGAAAATCTGCTTCTCAAAGACGTTAGGGACTTCAATAAAACTGGTAGCCTACATTCAAAACCTGGAAAGGTTATTGTTTTAGCATGTGACTCCCAGAATCTCATAGCCAGAGAGTTCAAGAAAATAATTTTTCTAAACTCTGGCATGGGCAGCACAGATACCAGTAGAATATGACCAGAAGCCATGATCACAGTGAGGAACTAAAAAACAGGACACTGTTTTTTTGCATATATTTCTTCCTACTCACCTCCCATTTGGTTTCTTCCAGCTTGGGACTCAGGCGCTCTGCCTGCTGCTGCTGCAGCCTCAGCTCTTCACATTGGTTCTGCCGAAGATCCAGCTCTTCCTGCAGCCGCTTCTTCTCCTGCTGTGCTTTGTAGAGTTGCAGCTGAAGTGCCCGTTGGCTACGCTGCGCTTGCTGCATCACCTGCTGTAGTTTGGCAACATACATCTGTTTAAGCTCGTCCAGCTCATCCATCCACAAACGCTGTTTGTCCTCAAACATCTGTTGGGAAAAGAGAGGGTTATGGACAGGATCATCCCCAGAGCCTGGAAATAATGAGTGACAAGAAACGCAGCTATCTGTAAGAATATGCCAACAAAGAAGAAAAGCAAAACAATAGAAACAAGAAACATTCAGTATACCTTCCAATCCCCAAGAAAAGAGATGCTAAAGAGGGCAGTAACTATAATACATTGCATTAATTTCCCATGCAAGCAAAGAGATGCTCAAGGTTTTGCAAGAAAGCTTGTTATTCTAAAAGGAGCAAGATATGCTGGATATTCAAGCTAGATTCCAGAGAGGAAGAGGCACTAGAGATGATGTTACACATATGCATTGGATGAGGGTACCAAAGACTTTCAAAAGAAATTCTGTGCTGCATAGATTATAGCAAAGCCTTTAGTTATGTAATGCATGAAAAGCTAAGGGCTATTCTAAAAGAAAAGGGAGTATCTCAATGCTTGATTGTCGTGATGTATAATTTATATGCCGAATAAAAAACTACTGTTAAAACATAATACAAGGAACAGAATAAAGGGAAACAAAATGGTTTCTTGTGGGCAAAGGGTGTATTTTAATCTCCCTATCTGTTCAATTTGTACAAAGAATATATGATACAGAAAGATGGATTACATTCAGATGAAGGAGTTAAAACGGATGGAACAAATATTAATGATCTAAGATATAGATGACACCATATTACTGGCAAAAACCTGTAATGACTTGAAACAATTCCTAATGAAAGTGAAAGAAGAAAGTGCAAAAGCAAGATTGCAGCTGAAGGCAAATAATGTGAGTAATTACATACCATGTTTTCCCGAAAATAAGACAGGCTGTTATATTATTTTTTCCTCCAAAAATGTATTGGGACTTATTTTCAGGGGATGTTTTATACTTACTTTCAGGGGATGTTCTATTTTTTTCATGCACAACAATCTATATTTATTCAAATGTAGTCCTGTCATCTTTTTCTGGTTGCTGGACAATGGTGGAGGGCAAGGTTTCACTTAACTAGGGCTTATTTTTGGGGTAGGGCTTATATTATATGATGTGAGACTGGGAGCGAGAAACCAGCTGTTCTCGCTGGAGTGCCGTCCCATCCAGTTCCAATAGAGAAAGGAGTACAGACTTCGCCTGTTCCCGACCCCGAGAGACCAAGACACCAGAGAGGAATCCTGTGTGTATACAAAAAGAAATACAGGACTTAACGGTTGCCAAACCTGGGAAAGTATTGGCGGGAAAAGAACAGAAGCCCCAGGTAGAAGCAGAGATGGGGTTTGCTGATATAAAAGAGGGAGGAGAATTGCCACCAGTTGGGGAGTGGATCTGGATGCAGGATCCATGGACTGGGAAATGGGAAAGACTCTGTATACCAAAAGAAGGGGCAGACTATAGGAAAAGGAGGGAGGTGAGCCCAAGACCATCCTACTGAGGTGAAACAGAGGTGAGGGAGTGGAGGAGAAAGTTAAGGGAAGAGAAAGAATGGGTTCAGAGTGAAAGGAGAGAGAGGATTGAATAGACTGATGGAGACCCAGATTATGGGATACCCTGCAGACTGTGGGACCCTTACGACCTCCAAAGAACCCACCTGGGTGGACCCCAGAGACAAGGACACCATACCACTATTGGAAGGGGAACCCGGACTGATACTGAATTCTAACTTGTCTGTAGATTGGCCAGGGCCTTGGAACCCAGTTGGGGGAAACCCCTTTAAAGAAGAAAATTGGAAAACCCTTTCTGACCAGTTGTTAGAAGGTAATAAGAGTTGGAACACATTTGCTGATACTGGTTTTCTGTTAAATACGGCAATAAATGTTACTCCAGTTTCTAAACCTCGTAAGTATGTTGATTTATTTGGAGAAAAGGAAGACCCACCCTTAGAACCCTCACATATGATTATCCTGAAAAATCCTACTAGGGCTTATTTTCAAGTTAGGTCTTATTTTGGGGAAAACAGGGTATCTTGGTTCAATCAACAATAAAAATGGAAACGACAGCTAGAAAAAAATCAGAAGACAATTGACACTTGGAAGTGCAGCTATGTAGGAACTACACAGACCATTGATAATGGCATGGCTAAAAAATCTTATAAACAAACAAACAAACAAACTAGAAAATATCCTCAAGTGTAAGGCTATGTTACTACAGACCATTAAAGACCAAGGTATACATCATCATCTACACTACAGTCTCTCCATTTATTATGTATGGATATGAAAACTGAACAGTGAAGAAAGCTAACAGGGGGAAATTAGCTTTGCAGATACCATGGACCACCAGAAAGTGGGTGCTGTATCAAATCAAGCCTGAACTATCCCTGGAAACAAAAATGACTAAACAGAGGTAATTGTACTTTGGGTACATCAAGAGAAGACAATAGTCACTGGAAAAGACAATAATGCTTGGAAAAGTTGAAGGAACAGGAAAAAAGGAAGACCAAATCTGAAATGGATTTACTCCATAAGGGAAGCATGCAGCCTTAAGTTTGCAAGACCTGACTAGGGCTTTTTAATAAGAGGACTTTTGGGAGGTCACTAATTCATACATCGAAAGTGACTTGACAGCATGAACAAGAACAAGTAACTTGACAAACACTGCAACAAATAACTGGAATGAATTTTAAATAGCAGCTTTCCAAGCTGTTACTCATTAAGGCCCTAGAGACGAGAAGATAGATTCAGCACTAATCTACACTGCTCATTTTGCAGGAGGCTAGTGCAGACTAAATAGGGTCGCTTTGTTTGAATGGAGGTGTTATGTGCCATTTAGTGCAATCCTCATATCTAAATGGCATATTTGGTCCAGCTCCTTCTATTCTGAATTTGAAGGTGCAGGAAGGGACATTCTGGGGATGGTTTGGTTCTCTCCAGTGATTATCTTGTGTGATTGCTGGTAAAAAGAGTGAAGCAACCTGTCCCCAGAGTGGAATAAACAATGGGGAGTGGGACAAATGCCCATCTGATCACCCTCCCAGTTTGGTTAATAGTGGAGGATTGAGTAAGTAACTTAGCCCTCTGGAATGGAGTGTATAATATTGTCCTTTCAAAGTCCCATCTTAATTCCATCACATCTGTAACAGGGATGCAAAAAGCCTTTGCTTTGGTCAAGATTCTACTGCCAGCATGTTCTGACAGAGGCAGGAAAGAAGGGCTATGAGCCAGCTTATTAAGCCCAACCAAATTAAAGGAACACCTTACTGTCCAGCAGTGTTAGGGCAGAACAAAAGACAGCTCCATGATATCAGAATGTATCAAGTCAACCCCCAGAAGTACAGCTGACACTCAAGTGCATTTTGCATTCTGATCCCTGGACGAAAGGGAAAGCACAGATAGGCAGCAAAACCAACTATCTCAGTATTTTCCATATTCATTCTGCATACTGTATATAAAATCTAGTTGGTTCTTTCTTTCACCTGGTTGTACTCGCTTCATCCACAAAGAAAGAAAGAAAGAAAGAAAGAAAGAAAGAAAAAGAAAGAAAGAAAGAAAGAAAGAAAGAAAGAAAGAAAGAAAGAAAGAAAGAAAGAAAGCAAGAAAGAAAGAAAGAAAGAAAGAAAGAACGAAAGAAAGAAAGAAAGAAAGAAAGAAAGAAAGAAAGAAAGAAAGAAAGAAAGAAAGAAAGAAAGAAACTTAACACAAAGCAAAAATGTTTGTGAAGCATCACTCACCTCATTAAGAATTGCCTCTAGGCATTCAAGCAGAAAAGTGTTAACCCTTTCCCCCTTTGATCTATTTTACTTTTGTGTTATGTGCAGTCAGGTCAAGTCTGAACCAACTTATAGTGACCCTAATAGGGCTTTCAAGATAGGTGAGATATTTAAGGAGTGGCTTTATCAGTTCAATCCACACCCACACCCATATAAAGATCTGCCCATTGTCTCTTTCTGTACAGAGCCCGGCAGCATCTCCAAAAATGCTGCTAAAACTAAGAGGTAAAATGGGAGTATGACTTATAGGCCAGAGAGTGAAAACATTAGTGAAAAGGGCTGACAGGTTAGTATTAGTTACTATTTTAAAATGACATGGTAATGTTAGTCACAGTGGGAAGAAGAAACAAATTAATGATAGGTTGTCAATACATTTTTACATTTAAAAACCTTTAAATATAGAAATATTGCTCCCAATCCCCTCAAATTACACTTTAAAATAACATTTTAAAAATCATGCACATTATTGATTACACCCCCAAAGTGTAATTCATTACTCTTCATATTAAAAAGCAGAAAAGGGACAGTTGTGCCCTTGCTATCCAGAAGTAATGTATCACATGTACCATGTTACCCTTCATGTATTATTTTCAAGCTATCTTTTATGCAGAGCAGAAACATTGAAACAACTTTCCAAATATCCCACTTCAAAAGCACCACCAGTAGTCCTACATGGCACACACCCCTCCTTTCTCCCACTGACACACAAACTGCTGCAAATAAACTCAAATAAACCCATCATCTCCTATATACTTTCCTTTTTCCTACTAAGAATAATGAGGAATGTGCAAGGAACTAGGAAGTTGGTCCAAGGATGAAACCAGTGATAGGAGTTGGGTCAGGATAGGTATGGAAAGTAGCTATAAGAGCCTTGCAAAATGCTGACAAACCACTAGCATTCATTGTCCCAAGTATGCATGTGTCAGTCCTTTGTGGCACATTGAAAGCATGAAAGAGAAGGGGGGAGCAAAGCTGCTGTCTCTTTGCTATCAAAGATTTATGATTCGATTGCCTTGAAGCACTATTGCTTCACCAGAAGCATCCAGGAAAGTGGCTATTAACATGCCTGGAAAATGGTGACATGAAGGACAACAGTGTGCAGGAAATGCAAGTCAGCAATGGAGAGCTTTAGGAGCCCAGGAAGAAGCTGAATCTGGAAGGTAACATGTGGAAAAGAAGAGCAGCATGTAATACCCACAGGACCAAGTGACCGCCATGGAGAAAATGAACCCACCTGGGTGAAAGGGTCATCAGTCTCACTCAGGTTCCTCTTAAGCTGGCGAAGCTCCATGCCCTTCTCACTTAACCGGTCCTCAAGCTGCTTCACCACATTTTCCAAAGAGTACGTGGGCTCATAGGGAGGAGGTGGCTCCCCAGAGTTCTGCAACCGGCTCAGGCTCTTACAGGAGAGTGGGGCTTTCTCTACAGCCAAGGGGTCTCGGGGCCCTCGAGAAGCCCTGTCTAAGGAGCCACCAATGTGGTTGATGTTGCCTATGGAAGCGCTGAGCTGGCTGGGAGAGGGTTTGAAGCGAGGATTGTATGTGGGAAAGCTCTGGATGGAGTTGTTGCCCTCATCAAGGCTAATGGTGTGCAGGAGATGGTTGCGCAGGGGGCCTCGCTGCGAGGAGCTGCTGGTGCTGCTTTGCGTCAAGAGCGTATGCAGGCTCCCATTGCTCTTTGACAGCTTCTGTCCTTTGGCTGATGACAGACCCTGCATGGGCAACAGGCTCTTCCCAGACACTATCTTGAAAGCCGAGGGCCTGATCCGACACTGGAAAGAGGAAACACACCAGGCATTAGCAGTTAGAGCAAATAAGGTTAACAAGCCGATGTAATTTACCAGAATAGGAACAGAAGGAGGTCTGCACATTCTTGTCTGTATTCTGCAGAGCTATTTTGCGTCACTCTTCAGCTGTTCAGATCTGTCTCTTTCAACTCACAAAGACAACACAGGCCTTAAAAAACAAAGGATCACTCCAAAGTAGGGATGGCTATTTCCTTTGGCCGATGAGGCTGGGCACCTTGTAGGGGTAGGTGTTGGGGATGTAGGGGGAATAATTCAACGGAATCAATTTGCCATGAGTGATCCTAGTGTTAGATTACAGATTTTGGAGGACATTCCTCCTGGCTTGCCACAAAAGACTACCCCACAAGACTGTCTTGTACATGGTGAGAGGTGTACCCCCTGATTCTCATGTGGTACATCACCTGCTGCTGCTGGGCACTACTTATTGCCCTCTGGACCGACAGCATCAATACTAATGGGGTTTTGTTTTGTTTTTTGTTTACATGGCCACCCATTGGCTTTCCTCCATATCCTCATAGGACCCCTGGTTTTCTCTTCCAGTTTGGAAGGAGTTGGCAATTTCCAGAAGTCCAAGGGCCACATGCACTCAGCCCTCGACCTTGGAAAGCTGCTCCTGTGAACTTACCTGCTGTTATTTACTAAAACTGTTTTTTAATTGAAAAAAAAAACTTGCTCTCTCTAGTGACTAAGCATTTTTTTATTTTTAAAAAGGGGATGGGTGGACGAAAGGAAATAATGGAAAATAATGAAAAAAATGCCCCTCAGATCCTGTAGAGAAGACAAAGGGCCTTTTTGAGCCATTTGTTGTTGTTGTTTGGAAGAACCTGACATGTTAGGTGGGCATATATGAGCCCTTAGGGGGCCACCCGTTGCCCACCCCTGCCCTATTACACTCCTGAAAATCCTAAATTGTGGCTGGCTGGCTTGGAATCAGTGAACAGCTGCATTTAGGGTGGCAGTCAGTGCTGCTTGAGCAAGGCCTCAGTTGAACAAACGCAGCCAAGCTCGGCAGGCCTCAAAGTCCTGTGCCTTCTTTCAGAGCCAACATGTTGCTTTCGGCCTTTAGAATGCTGGCATAAAATATCCTCGGGATTACTGCAGTAACACAGAGATCTCTGGAGCATCTTTCCCTTTAGTATCACGAAGGGCTGAGAGGCAGCTGGCAGGGAAATGGTGACTCACTCACACGTACACACCAAGAGACACTTTCCAAACCACCAGCAGCTTGCTGGATGCTCCCTCTGAGGTAGCTGAGCATGGCGGAGACCAGGGGGAGCTAGCTGCCTGTGAGGCTGGGTGCGGCCCATGGTCTGCCAGCAGGCCTTCCTGTTCTAAGGGAACAGTCGCTGAGTCAGTCATTCTGTCCACTGCAGACCATGTGACCTCAATTCCCCTCTGCTTGTCAGCTCCTCCTATCACCCTAATCTAACATAATTCCAGGATTCATCACTTCACCAACAATTCTATACTATACAACGCTAGATCACTTCTAAAACTAAAGACATGTCTCATAATGCACCACACACCCAGAAACACCATACAGTAGGCATCTTACAGGAGTATGTAACTTCAGAGGGTGTGGGGCTAATTTTCCAACTGTGGGTAATGTTACTTCCTCCTACTAGAACCAGAAGAAGCTAGAAGTTCACCTTATTTTTCACCTAGAAAAACAGAACTGAATGCAAAGTATTTACCCTGTTCCCCGAAAATAAGACCTAACCTGAAAATAAGCCCTAGTAGGATTTTTCAGGATGCTCGTAATATAAGCCCTAGCCCCCCCCCAATAAGCCCTAGTTAAGTGAAACCCTGCCCTCCACCATTGTGTAGCAACCTGAAGATGACATTACTATATTTGAATAAATGTAAATTGCTGTACATTTTAAAAAATCCCCTGAAAATAAGCCCTAATGTGTTTTTTTGGAGCAAAAATTAATATAAGACCCTGTCTTATTTTCGGGGAAACACAGTAGTCTGAAAGAATCCATATTTTAGAGCAGTGGTTCCCAACTTTGGGTAACCCAGGTATTCTTGGATTGCAATTCCCAGAATCATTCACCACCAGCCAAGGGTTTCTGGGAGTTTTAGTCCTAGACCACCTGGATTACCCAAGGGTGGGAACCGCTGCACAGGGGGAGCGGGGACTATGGGGAGATTGTGAGTAGTACAGAGGCTGCAAAAATGGGAGGTTAAGTGTATATGAACCACGAATCATGTGTGGCCTGCCCTTGTCATGAGGGGATAGCTTATGCTAAAGGCCAGTGATTTTAAAAAATAAGATTTATGCCACAAAGCCCCACCCCTGTTCCCCTTCTCCTTGGTCTCGGCTTAAAAAACGTTTCCATTACTGCTCCCACACCTCCTCACCTTGTCAAAGCGTCCACGTTCAGGCAAGGAACTCTTCGAGAAATCTGTCCCTCGCTGATTGTCCCGGAAGTAGCGGTCAGGGGACTGGTTCTCCCGGTCACTCTCATAGTCCCGTTTAAAGCCACCACTGGATGACTTTTTCTCAGCCCGAGTATCCTGTTTGCCCCCATGTAAGTAACCAAAGACTTCCCGCTGGGACATTCCTTTCCGTAGCAATCCATCTGGCTGGCGCATCCCTCGTAGGCCTCCTGGTGCAGTTGGGGAGAAATCCTGCTTCTCTACCAGGCTGCCCACGCTACCCATGCTGCTGTCGTTGTCCGGCTCAGGATCCAGAGAGTAAGGATCAAAAATACAATGGCTGGGGTCACAGGTCACATGAGAGGTCTGGGCTGTTGCCATGGAGATTTAGAGACAAGTAGGATTCCAGCACTGCCGAAAGAAGTCACATGTGCACAAAAAAAAATTATTGATATGTTTGTTCCCCACCAGTCCCTGGGGGCAACCAGGCTAAAAATCTATCCTGATTGATTCCAGACAGTGAACGTTCATTATCAGTCCCAAGCATCTCCAACCTTGGTAGCTGAGGTTACCAACACAACCCATGGACGTTTACAAGTCATCCCAAGCAGAATTCAGGGCTTCTGCTCTTCTTTGCATCTCCTTAACTGCCTTGCTTTACTCACCTAGCCAGAGCAGAGTCCAAACGTATAAGATGCCTTACCAGGAAGAAGTAAGTCCAACAAGTTCCGCCCCACCCAGCTCCCCACACAGGCCTAAGCTGCTGCCGTTGCTGTTCTCTTCCCATGACAGCTAACTCCCAAATTGAGCTCCTCCCCCTGCCTCAGGCAAAAAGGCGAAAAACCACCATAAATATGTGGGATGTGTCCAAGAAGGAACTCTTAAGATGAGCATTACTTGTACAACCACCCCTTCTTCTCTAACAAAGGCTAGTGTAGATCCTTGTCTCTTACCCCAAATCAGCTCTTGGACTGGTGTACATACAAAGTCCCTGCCTGGGTCTCCTACCATTTTGTTGGGGTGTTAGTGGACAATATGGCTTTAGTCAACTAGATGTCCAGCTAATTTAGAGGCTGAAATGGAAAGGCAGGCACTTAACAGATGCTGAGAATCTCTCTTCTGTTTCAGCTCCATTCTCCTCAAATACAGATCTCATGCTGTGTGTGAAACACATATTACCTGCTCCATCTCCCAACTATGATGTGCTCCAGCTACAATGAACCCAGTAACTATAGCACAGGAGTATAGCAGCCTGGTCACATTGTCCTGTATTCCTATGTCATGAAGATACAAACAGGAAGATAAGAAATTGAATACAATAATGGAACTGATTCAGAGAATGCACTTTCTCTGCCTCCATTGCCACACGATATTACCTGTTTAAATGGATCAAGCCAAACCTGTGATTCTTATAGGTTCATTAATACCATCAGGTTCCTATGTAGAATAACCAGGACCATGCGCAAATGGCAGCACGGGGCTTGTGTAGGCATGCATGCTCGTGCACATGCGCAAATGGCAGCTGTGCCGTTTGCACATGTGCACAAGCTCCGAAGCGCCCACACAAGCACAGCACCACCGTATGTACATGAGCACATGCGCAGGCCTTTGTGTAGGTGAGTGTGTGGATGGGGTGGGGCGGGAGGTCTGTCTTCGTGACCCGGTCCGCTCAGGCCACAGATCGGCACCAGGCCGCGGACCAGGGGTTGGGGACCTCTGCCCTAGAGGGCATGCAGGTGAGCATGGAGATTTAAGGAGGAGAGTGAGTTGGAAGAGGGAGAAGACTGTTGGGCTCATGCAGTAGACTGGGAGGCACCTGGAAGCCCAAGAGGTGCCCGTGGTTGTGGGATGCTTCACTGAGAGTTGGGAAACTATCCATCATTGTGATCCTGACACTGGCCGGTGGGAGGAGTTCTTAATCTCTCCAGAGGAAGCAGCACAAGCGCACAAGGATGAGGCTAGGTGACTGGTGATGAAGCACTGGAGGGACCAGCACTAGGCATGGTGCTACCAAAGGAAGCCACAGGGGCATCCTTTACCAAAGGTAGGTTCTAGACAGAGCCAGCTGCCCCACCTCCCACAGCCACCTTGTCAGCAAGACAAAACTTCCTGGGTATGGTTGGACATTGGGCATGCCTCACAGAAGGCATACTGCATCACAGCTCTGCCATCCATGCCAGGGAGATGTCCAGGAACAGCCGGAGTAGGAGTTGAGACTACCCAGGTGCAAGGCAGCCTCCAAGCCTGCATCCTTATTGTGACACTCCTTGCTTAGTGTACCTAAAAGGTGCATTGGAGCTGGTGAAGGAAGAATGCTCTGCCCTCCCTGGACTCCATATGGGAGAACATAAAAGTCCCTGGTGCTCTTAAAGTGGCAGAGTTGTGTTTTATGGTTGGGAAGCACTGCTGTAGCTTAACAAAGGACTCTGGCCTCTTTAACTACTTGGTGGGGAAGGGTGGTCTGATTTCTCTAGCCAAGAACTGAAGCATCTTGGCATCAACTCATCATTCTGATAAAACAGAACTTCCCTTCCATAGGTAATGTTCCAGGGAGTTAAATTGAAAGCAGCTGCTGAGAAGGGGAAGGGGTAGCATAAGAGCTAAAGTGTTGGAAACAGGAAAGGCTATTCAGGAGATAAAACAGACCAGGCTGCATCACTTCCTGAGCAGGTGTGAAGGCTTCAGATACTGTACTCATCACTCTGCTAGGTGAAAGCCTGATATTAATAGTTTCCAAGTGAAAGACACCAGACATGTCCCTATTCTCTCCCTTATGAAATTTGGTCTCCCAATACTTGAGTTTAAACCTGTACACAGGCAGAAAAATGGGGTGAAAGATCTCTAAGGTGCTACACTGGAATGTGTCACCTTAAAATTTTTAATATTCAAAAATGGTACATTATCTCCAATTGTAATCTGAAATGGGCCAGTTCGTTTTATCATCTCCTTCTGCTTCACATGTCCAGTAGGCCTATGTGCTCAGGGTAAGACTCCAAAAGTAAAGGGAACTGCTGTTCTATTCCTCTGTTGTTGTGTTCTGTCAAGTCAGAACCGACTTACAGCAACAGCTTTCAAAGTAAATAAGATATTTCAGGAGTCGTTTTACCAGTTCGACAGAACCAATGAGTTTCCATGTTTGAATGGGGATTTGAACCCAGGCCTCCTGAATCCTAGCCTGTCGCTCTATCCACTACACCACACTGGGTACTCCCCAGTCATTCATATCCAATCTATGTTTGCAGCATTAACAGATCCAACTGTCATGATGGACCCTACCTGTGCCAGTAGCTGGCAGACCTAAACTACGGGAGCCAGGAGGAAGCTTCCCATTTTTAAAAAAAATTACTTCTAAGTGTCATGGCGCTTGCTGACCAAGCAATGGCCTTAAAAATCAATAGCAACCTTTGCATGTTCTCTCTCTCCACCCACGGAAAAGTAAGAAGAGGTTTTTAATTAGCCAATATAATGAGGTGACTTAAGCAAAGTGACAGCTTGAGCCCTCCGTTCTGGTTCAGTTCCAGTGATCACACATGGTGGAACCAAACCAAAAGAGAGTGATCTTACCCAGTGTCCCCTCAAAAAGACCCGGAAATGGACAAGTAGGAAAGTATCAGAGATGGGCTGGTTTGCAATTTCCCGCCCATCATGTGGTAGCTGGAAAAAGGAAAGAAGTCGCCTGTCCCCAAACTGCACGATAAATCCATGACTGGTTGCCCCCTAACAGTGTCAATTCTCAGCTTTATTAAATGATGACTCATTTCCTCACTCACCGAAAGCAGCAAGACTTCCATGCTCCATTTTAAGTAAGATTTCTTCCGCACATTTAGGCTCTTGCCCTCAAAACAATGACCCTAAACATTGCATGGGCTCATTAATTAGTAGGCATTTAATTAACCCAACATCCTCGTACCCCGGAGTTAAAGAATTGCCATCAACCGAGAAACAAGTGACCATGAGACAGGACTTTGCCAAAAGGGAGAACAAAGTCAATCCTTAACACTGACAAAAAAAAAAGAGAGAGACCCCAAGTTCTAGCCTTTCTCCTTTAGAGGCCTGGAAGCCAACTGTAATCACATCACATGGACAGGATCAGGGCAGTGCCAAAGGGAAAGGTTTCCATGACAGCCATCTTCCACACATCTCTTTACGCTCCCACATGAACTGAAGATATAGTCTGTTCCAGGCAGGTCTGTGGCAAAGAGCCAGCAAACCTTGAGCAGATGTTGACACAGTTGTTGCAGAGGAGGACAGGCTCTCCACCCTGCAGGCACATAACTGGCTCCCCAATTCATGCGGCAAAGCCAGAAATGTTAACTCAAGATTCTCATTATAATGAGCCTTTCCCAGCATAGCATCATGACAGATAGGACGGAGTGGTTCTGTGTACATCTCAGGGAGCTGGTGACTCAGATTCCTGCACAGCACCAAGCCCACTTCCTTTTAGAACTTCCCTGGCTTAGATGGTCGCACCGCTTGGCTTCTACTTTTCTGTGTACATTGTAAATAAAAATAATGGTCATGGCACATATTTAATTGCCCTTTCTTTCTGTCTTTCTCTCCCACCACCCAACACCCAACCTGTCTGACAGCTCTGGCCCTGTCTTGTGGGTGCCCTATAAAGGATCCGGTAACCCTTCCAAAGAGCTAGTTGCGTGGGCTCTCAGGTAGAAGAAATGAAATCAGCAACTGGAATTCAAGCTCCCCTGCTTATTTCTGGGAGCTGCAGACTGTGTGTGGGAAGTTTGACAGTGAGAAAGGGTAGAGTGAAGTTGGGTTAATTCTGGCTACTAATGTCTTAATAATAATCTTAGAATTGCAGAGATGGAAAGGACCATATTGATAATCATGTCCAGCCCCTGTCAAGGAGGTACAGTGGAGAATCAAACTCCCAACCTCTGGCTCCGTAGCCAGATACATAAGCCACTGAGCTATCCAGCAGTTAATCAACCAGATCTAGAAAGCAGTCCACTTTCTCTGTATGTAAATTCAATCCATCAGATTTGTTAGGATGGAAGGCAGCTCATATAGACTGATATCCAATAACTCTTGACTGTATCCCCCCCCCCCAAGGAAGCATGTATCTCAAACATTTCCTCTTCAAGATGCCTCGTGAACTTGTATTTTGCCCTTCCTACCTAATTCATTTTCTTTCCCAATACTGAATGTGTTTCAAATTTCCTTTTTTTTTCCCATTTAGCCTTTTAGCTATCCTTCACACACAAAAAGTTGTTACCTAGGATGTCTGGTTGGCTTCTGCTGCTTGAGGCAAAGCAGGGTGCTCGGCATGGTGAAGCCTCTGCCCCAAGAAAGGACCTTTGCTGCTAATGAGAAGCAGCAGTCAGATTGGCAGCAAGGTGACAGCCATTCCCCTCCTTCTTGCAAGTAGCACCAGCATACAGCAAGGAGAAAGA